GAAAAAAACCACAAACGTTTTATTTTTAAAAAGATTTTATTTGAGGGGGGTGGGGGGTTGCAGAGGGAAAGGGAGAGAGAGAGAATCCCAAGAGAATGCTGCACCCAGCTTGGAGCCGGATGCAGGGCTCTGACCTACCACCCTGAGATCATGATCTGAGCCAAAATCAAGAGTCGGTTGCTTAACTGACTGAGCCACCCAAGCGCCCCCAAAAATCAGGGAGAGAGGGGGCCCAATTAGCTTGTCCATCAGGGAATTTGGGAAGGCTTTCTAGTATCTCTATTAGGAGAAATGGAGACTAGGACTTGAGACCCTAGGATTGATGGTCCATCCTTCACATAAGCTGGTATTAACTCTCTTTAGAAGAAAGGCAAGAAAAAGTAGCCCCAGCCTCAGGACAGGGTGGGGTAAATGCTCTAAACGGACCAGAAATTCTGTAGAATAGAGTTGCTGGCAGGTCAGTCACTGTTGTCTCCTGTGAGCTCTGATCAGGCCCAGGGGACTATAACCAGGACATATTTGAGGACAAATATGGGGCATTAAAAAGTCAGCCTCTACTAAGGACTTACTAGGTGTCAATATAGCCATGAGGAGGCTCCCCTGCCATTAAGGAGCCTTGGGCTTGGGCGCCTGGGTGGCTCAGTCAGTTAAGCGTCTGCCTTCGGCTCAGGTCCTGATCCCAGGGTCCTGAGATCGAGCCCTGCATAGGGCTCCCTGCTCCGCAGGGAGTCTGCTTCTCCCTCTCTTTCTGTGATCTCTCTCGATCTCACTCTAATAAATAATAAATAAAATCTTTAAAAAAAAAAAAAAAAGGAGGCTTGGGCTCACCTCTGAGAAAGTTCACCAGGGCTGGAGTGCAGTGGGGAGCCTCGCCCCACAGAAGTGGCAGCGGGAGCAGCAGCTGGAGGAGGCCCTGGGAGGAGAGTGGAGAACCGCTCTGGCTTCCAGGGGATCCCAGAGGGGAAAGCAGAGGCCAGGGGTCATGGAGCTCCTGGGAGGTGGCAGTCCCAGGCCCTTGAGATCCACTTCAGAGCCTGGCCGCGCCACTGTGACTGGGAAGTGGGAGTCTCGCTTCCACCGTAGGACCACCACTATGCAAACATTTGCCAAGTACCTGCCTTTGCGGGACACCTGCCTATGGAAATGCAAAGAGAGCACTCTCCAGTAGCTTTGCATGACCACCTACCTCAGGCACCTGCAGAATTTTCTCAGAACTTGCCAGTTCAACAGCAACATCTCTATTATGTGTCCTGGCCCAGCCAAGATGGAAAACCCCTTCACCACTGGACTTTCCAAAGAAAACGCGCGAGGATGAAACATGGCAGGTGGGGGTTGGAGGGAGAGTTCATCTCTGCCCTGTGGAGAAACCTGAACAGGTTGATATTCTCTCACCAGTGATGGACAGATAACATCATGTGCCTCCAGGTGTGACACCCTCAGGACACATGAACTGTGCAGGACCCCTCTGAGAATACAGAATCTAACTCAGGGTGACACAGTAAGTTAGAACCATTAGAACCCAGGTCTGTGTCACTCTGAAGTCCGGCCTCCTTTCCACCTCTCTAACTTGCGGGTTGTCGGTCGGAGCGGAGTATCGGCCGAGGCGAAGAGGCAGGGTAGCACGGGACAGGAAATGAGGAGTTCGGATGGGGAGGAAGAGTCAGCTGCTAGCAGGGGCTGAATGGAATGGGGGCTGCCTGCAACCTCCCCACTGCTCACGCCTTGCTGGCTCTCAGCCAGGCCCTGTAGACCACTGCTGAGGAGGTGGACACAAGCAGGGGGGAGGGCCTGCTTCCTGTGGGTACACAACCCTAAGAAATACGTGGTGGGGACGAAAGAGGAATCTGAGGCTAGCTCTTGTTGGAATTTAGTGTCTGCCACAGCTTAGCCATGGCGCAGGGCCAAAGACTCAGCAACCTCAGGCCAGCAGAAGCGGAGCGCAGGACTGCAGCGGTCACGGCCCTCCCTCCATAGCAAGATGAAGCACGGACATGCAACTGGCTGAATGATGGGGACAGAAACACATCAAGATGAGCATGTTTGATGTCCAAATGTAAAGGGGAGGCAGGGGGCGTAATGAACCGCATCCTAGAAGAGGCATTCCAGTATGGACTTGGCTCATCCGCTTCCAGGTCCTTCTCTGCAAAGTGAGGGAGTTTGGACCCACTGTGAACAGTACAAATCTTGTGTCAGGCTGATAACATTTTACTTATAGAAGAACAACTATGCACTTCCAGCATCCCAGAAGGTTCACTTATGCTCTTTTGCAATCAACAACCACCCCTCCTACCCCAAGGTCACTCTACTTCTGACTTGGAAATCGGCACATTAGCTTTGCTGGTTCTGGAAATTACTATAATCACAGAATATTCTCTGGTTCCTTTGCTCAACACGATGTCTGTGAGATTCATTCATACTGTTGCATCTCTCAGTGATGTGTTATTTCTAATTACAATGTAGTGTCCTTTGTCTGAATACACCCTGCTGGTGGGCATTGGGTGGTTTCGGTTTGGGGCCGTCCTAAGCAAAGCTGCTGTGAACAACCCTCCCTGTAGGGTCTTGGTGGGGACACGTGCCTCAGTTCTCCTGGGGGTAGAACCACTGGGTACATGTTGTTTTTAGCTCTAGTGGATATTACCAAACAGCTCCCCCAGCGCTGAAACGTGACTTTTATGGGTCTCAAAATGAGTATAAATAAACAAGGAAACAGAGGGGAAGAGAAAGAAACACATTGCTTAAACGATTCCCAAGACTGATCCTTTCAATAAATTTTGAGCACCTACCGTGAACTGAGGAAGGCTGGGCAGCGCCTCTTCCCCACGGCACGCGGCCTCGGGTTAGCCTGATCCTGGCTCCGCGGGGCTGCTGCGCCTGGCTGGCACCTGGCGGAGGCTCTGAGAGGCTTTGCCAAGCAGAACAGGTGCCGGTACAAGGCACAGCACGGCTGGGCAGTGCCTCCGAACACTCGTTCCTTACCAGCTGCTGGGTGCTTCCGACAGACCCTCCCTCTCAAGGAAAGAAAATCAAGCTCATGGCAACTTTCATATTTCACACCTCAGCAACCTGCATCACAGAAAGACTTTAAAACATACCCAAAGCAATTCCCTCCGGATCTGTGTGAAAAAGGCAAACTGGCAGTTTCTGAAGCCTGCAGCCCACACCAACTCTGCCAGCCCACAGAGCAGGCGGCCTCTCTCCCTCCCCTTTCTGCCAAGGGGACTCCTTAAGGAAAACCCTGATTCACTGGGTTCTGGGTACTAGAACTTGCCTTTCTGTAGAGCAGGTTGTCCCAACCTTGGCACTACCGACACCTCAGGCCAGATGACTCTTGGTTAGAGGGGACTGTCCCATGAATTGTAGGACATTCGGCAGCATCTCTGGCCTCTACCCGCTAGATGTCAGTAACCGCTCCCAGTTGTGACAACCAAAAATGTCTCCATACATTGCCAAATGTCCCTGGGGGGAGAGGATGGGGGACGGGGGGCAGCAAAATTGTCCCCTGCTGAGAACCACTACAGTAGAGAAGGATGTTTAAGAAAACACCTTCCTCTAGAAGGGAAAGATCAGCTTTCCAAGACACAATCAAGCTGGCCTGAGTGAGTGGGCCGGCTTAGTCCACAGTAGGCATTTTAATCTTGGCAACCATGTGAGACCAAAACCAAAAACCACACTGTTTACTCTGGTAAAACTGAAAGAAAAACTAAAAAGTATAAAAAGAAAATTCAGGAAAGCAGAGGTTAAGAGGATTGGGAGGTAAGAGCAACAGTGAGGGAGAAATCATTTTTGTAAGTTCCCGTTTGTGAGCACACACATCTGCCATGGTTTCCCATGAGTGACTCAAACACCAAACATGAAGCCGTAGCTAACCTCATGACAGCACTCGTTTGGGGGTCCAAGCTCCAAACTCAGTGTTTTCAGGAAGTATCCCTAAACTCAAGTCCATCTCATTATATGAAAATACACACACATACACAAAACCTTACCCTACTGTTCTATTAAATCAGACAGTTTAAAATGCATGCCATTCTGGTATTTTTATTTTCTTACGGAGTCCATTTTACTAAAAACAAAACAAAAAAACAAAAAAACCAAACATACAAAACATTTTTAATATATCTTAGAAAATTAGCAAAAAATTAAGAAAGTTCAGGATATTACATTGTACAATACTTAGGTAAGAATGTCTGAAAATTATAAATATTTGTTCCTTCTCAACACAGGACATCATAAAAATACATTTTTAAAACTTTCTTCATGTATAATTCCTATAAATGATCATTCCCTATTAATATTTAGGAAAAGGCCTGATTATGACAAGCATTCACACACTCCGGAAATTTTCTGTACAGTAACTACAAAAGTAAAAGCAAGGGGGTCTGGTGGTACGATGACCCTCGCAACCATTTTAAATATTAGAAAGAATTCCATTAGTATCAAATTATCATTCCAAATGGGATTTACTTAGTTCATCTCTGTGCTGTGTTTGATTCCTAAGGATCTATCTTAGCCAAAGCACCGTGGACAAAGGTGTTTGCTTCCTTGAGCAGGTGCCGCCGGAGCCAGGACTTGGATCAGCGGCAGTGCACTGGGCACAAACCTCTGCACGACCGCACCCGCGGACCGCTGCCCGCAAGCCACGAGCGGGGGCAAGGGCCACACACTGCCAGGGACGGCTCTGCAGGAGAAGGGGTCGCAAGCACCCCTCCCTGGCCACCAGCACGCCCAGGCCGGCAGACCGGCAGGCTAGTTTAGAAGCCTGCGCTCGGAGAAAGGCACATGCTGCCTGCCTCAGGCAAGGAAGGAGCGCCGTCCCCGGGGCCCCGACCCCATCCCTCCGGGGACGCACACGCGGCAGCTGACGGCACCCCCCCTCCCCCGCACGGCGTGTCCATGTGCGGCCTGCTTCCCACTAGGCCCTGAGGGAGCTAAAGGGAATTTTCAGAAGCTGAAGTTTTCAAAGAAAGAGTAAATAAAGAGCTTGATAGTGTCGACTTTTTTTCTTCAGGTAAGCCCTTATTTTCAGGCAGAGAAATAAGAAGGCTTCCTCAGTACGTTGACCTGCTAGGAGGCACAGAAGGAAGGTTAGAAGCAGCAAAGCCAGTTCCTGTAGCATCGAGCTTTCCAGACACACGCCAACACGCCCCGACGGCCCTGCCGCCCATCACTCCCTTCACTCCCTCACTCGGTGCTCTTCTTTCCCTTCCAGCTCTTCTCCCTCTCTTCCAGTTCCGCCTGGGTGAAAGCCGCGGGGCCCCAGTTCGTGATCAGGTGAGGGTTTTTGGAACCTAAGGGACAAACACACATTAAATACAAGAAGTACCATATCCTTTGGTTAACATAAGCGTTTCCCCACAGATAAAAGTAACTTTCTCCTTTATTTCTCCTCTGATGAATATCCGTCAAGGTCATACCAGCCAAAAAAACCGGAAGGCTTATGCAAAGGGAATTAAGGGCGCCTTCTTATCTATTACAGAGAGAGTTATTCAAGAGAAATTGACCCTAAACAGCTTGGTTTCTATATATTTGGGCTAACGAAGATTTTTAGCACAATTCAAACACACAAATAAAACAAAAATAAGTTGGAAAAATATCTGATTACTTCAAGGAGCATGTTACCTGGCTCTATCAATCGAATTAATCCTTCATGCTGGGCCACTTTGTCCTTCCAGCTCTTGGTCTTACTAGTTGCCATCTCCAGCTTCTTCTTAACATCCTGGAACAGAAGCAGATTTTGGACTATGCAAACACAATGGGAGTTTAAGAACCAAATAAAAATGATTAGGTGCTTACTCTATGCTTGTGGGTTATCCCAAGAAATCCTCCCAGCCACCCCCGTTTTTACAAATGTGGAAACCAGATGTGCAGAGCTTGAGTAACCTGCCCGAGGTCAGCCAGAGGACCGACTCGCACTGCTCCGCACGAATGTGTGAGATCCTGGTGTGCATCACAGTGCATCACCCCTTGGCTCCAAATGCCCCCCCCCCCCCCCCCGCCGCCGCCGCCCGGCATGTGACTGAGGGGAACTCTCCTCGCCTGCTGGCACCACCTAAGCTTCGTCAGTAGAGGGCACTGAAGGGACACTGGAGGAAGGGGCTTTGCTTCCAGGTCCCACTGGACCCTGCTCAGTGGCTGAGAACCTGCCGCTCTTCTCAGCAGCTTCTGCGGCGGCGGGGGGGGGGGGGGGGGGGGGGGGCAGGTGCTCATCCCAGTGCCCAGAGGACAGCCTCCCAGTCATAGCTCTTCTGGCGTCCAGGAGGCCAGGGCCATGCCCTCTCCAAGGAGGCCAGGATCACAGCCATGGGCAGAAGGGGCAAGGGGCAAGGGGGGCCCTCTCCCAGCTGTGTTCCCTCTCTGCGAGCCCTGCCTCAGTCTCCGAGGCACGGGCTGCTTCCTGCCCCAGCCGTTGCTGCAGCCTAAGAGTCTTCTTTACTGCGTAGCAGGTAATCCCCTCGTTATGGCTCATAACTGCCTCTATCAGACTGCCCCCGTTCCAGTTACCGTGCCTCTGGACTGGACTGACCTGGTGCACCTCAGCACCTGTACAAACTACCGCTTCCTACAGCGACGCGACCTTCTTACCAGCACTTCTTACAGCTAAGCAAATACCGTTATTTCTAAATGTTTCAGTTTTTACTTCAAGTCCAGTCAGTTAACAGAGAGCGTTATATGAGTGGCTTGTTTTTAAAGCCTGACTGATGCGCATGCAGGCCCCATGTGGTCACCTCGTACTGCTCCAGCGCCTGTTTCCGCTCACGCCCCAGCCGCTCCAGCTGCTCCATGGCCTCCTGAAGCGCCCGTTCCTTCGCGCTGCGCTCGCTCTCCAACCCCTGCTTCTCCGCCTCGCTCGCCTGAATGGCCTGCTGCTGCTCCAGGTGCCACTTCTCCAGGTCAGCCCTCTTGGAAGACTCTTCCTCTAGCAACCTGCGACACAGGCAGCCCAGGATCAAACCTGCCTGGGCTCCCCACCGCAGCAGAGGCGGGGGCCCCTGAGGTCATCTCATCCACCCCCCTCATTTCGCAAGGAAGAAACGAGGAGCCACAGAGGCCCATATTCACAAAGCTGGTTAAGGCGACCCACATGTCCTGTCCAGCTCCTCTCTGTTGCACCCTTTGTTGAAAACAAATTAAAATAAAAACAACATTTATGAGAGGTTTAACATGCACACAAACTAACTGTATTTAGCCAAGAGCTAAATGTATTTCCCCAATCAATCCTCACAATAAACTTAAGTGCTATCAACATTCATAGTTCAACGATGAAGAAAGGCACAAAAGCTAAGTGACCTATACCAGGTCATTCACTTGGCAGGTGGGAGGGCCAAGTTTGGAAACTTGCCTGGTTGCTAGGACATTAAAACATTTCTCATCTAGTACAAACCTATTACCAAGGACAAAGCTAACAAACAAGTGAAGGCGAGGGAAGAAGGAGCCAACAGAAGGCAGAATAAATCAGATACCACTTATTGAACAATTACTACATGTTAGATCCTTGCTTTCATGACTGCTAACCCATCAATTCTGCAAGGTATTATCATCCCTCCAGGTGAAGCAATAAAAACCAGAATGTTTATAAGTATGTTTACAGGCAGTAGTGGATTTTCACCAAGGTTTGTGTGACTCCAAAAAGTCATCTCTGAGTAACAGGCTACCTGTCTAAGAATATCCAGGTACGGAGGCATTTAAATAAACTCACGTACAGCCCAAACCTGTATCCAAAGTACAGATGGTGCAGTTAGATGCCGGCCCGAGGCCCGACACACCCCCAGTGGCCCGGCCACCAGCATGCTCTTCCAAAGCCAACGACAGAAGGAACAAAGCAAGCAACGGACCAGACGGCCTCATGTCACCACCCGCAGCCGCCCCCACTACAAGAACTCCCTCTATGACACCCTGCAGGGTGGTTATCCGACTGTTCTCAAACCCTCTGGGGGATGGGCCGCCCACTGCTTCACAAATCAGGTGAGTTTATTTATGGGCAGCCTCATCTGTAGAAAGTTCTTCCTCAACTAGGAAGAGCTCTCCCACCCACTACCCCTCGTTCTACACAGGACCATCCACTTCCTCCTTAGATGGCTCCTGGAGTGTGAGAACCACAGCTGAACACAACACTGCAAATGTGGTGTGACCAGTGTTTAGCCACTCACTCAGTGTGTATATATGATGCACCCTCTGTGTGCTTTTCTAGGCACTGATGACACAACACTGAACGAGACTGGAAAGGTCTGTTTCCTCATCCTAGTGGTAAGAGTATGGAAGGGAAATGGACATTTGCGGTGTTCAGCCTGCCCGGTCTGAATCCCCTTCATGTGTCCAAGGAATCTGCCACAATAGGTGTCTGGATGGGAAGCAGGGCCCATCTCCCACTACATAAGCCACAGGCCAGACCCCTGCCCTCCTGCCCTTTGGTGGCCAGGGCACAGTGGAAGCCTGAGCTGGGCTTGGCTAAGCAGATGCACAAGGAAGGAACTAGCTCTGAAATTCTGACTCTGAAGCAACCAACACAAAGGAGCAGAGAGAGTGGAGAATTTATCTTGCTGGGGGTGGCAACATCCAGTGCTGAGTGACAGCAGAAGCCATGGTGACTACCAACACATGGTGCCAATGCTGACCTCAGTGGCATCCTCAGGGGACTCTCCCCACAGCCTGGTCCGTGCTGTGGTTGGGCTGCTCAGCCTTGGTTCATGCCTGTGTTCAGGCCTGGCAACCTGCCTGCTCTAACATGGATGGAAGGCCTGTCTAGAGCCCCAGAAGCCAGGGTCCTCCAGGGCCCTAGATTGAGAATAAACAAGTTGGCCAGCCAAGCCTCCAGGGTCTCTCCAATCTGGCAGACACTCTTCCCTCTTCACCAGAACGTTAAGTCATTCCTAGAAACGACATTAGCCCAAGCTAAGCACATAAAGGCAAGGGATACAAACGGATCTGGCACCTGGCCTGAAGCTTCCGCACGGTCTCCTCATCTTGCCGGGCCTGTCTCTCATCCTCAAGGGCCTCCTGCAGCTTTAGGTACATGTCTTCCAGCTCCCGGACTCGCTGCAAATACTGCTCCAGTTCAGAGGACTTCTGGGCAACCTGTTCTTCCATCTGCTGTCTGATCTGATGGTGTAAAAGGGTCATGTTAAACTCCGGCTGACTTCACCCTCAGGGAAAGTCTCCCTCGCAGCCCAGCAGGGTGGGCAGGGCCCCGTCCCGCGCTCCCAGAACTGATGGAGGAAGGACAGCACTGCCCGCAGAGTCCACGGACACAGACTACAACCCTCATGCTGTATTCCTGCCCTGGGAGCGCTCCGTCCCTTCCACTCCACACTTTAAGATTCAAGTCAAGAAAATACTGTTTCCCTGAATAATTTCTCTTTAAATTCCTTTCTGTTATAAAAGCCACAACCTCTTTACCCACAGTCTTCTCTAAAAGGAATGACCCTCTGCCCAGTCAGAACAGCCAGGGGGTTAAAACAAAGGGTAAAGGAATGACCGACCCGCAGCCAGCGATGCCGCCTCTTACCTGGCTGCCTCCTCACCCCTCTTCTCCCTCCCTGGGGCATATCCAGCCCGGGGGGCCTCAAGCACCCAAGTTAGCACCCTAACAAGTATATGGGTTCTCCTTTCTGTATTAAACAGTTTTGAATCTCTGCCTTAAAAACTGAAAGACAAGGACATCTAAAAGTAATAGCACACACATTAGCATATGTGTCTGCGGTTTATAAAATATTCTCACTGCTCACTTCATCCTCTTAAGAGTCATGAGAGATCACATGACAACGCCTCCAATGTAAAGAGAAAACTCATGCTCAAAAGCAGGAGCAGAGAGGAAAGAACCCAGATCTTCTGGCTGTGAGTGCAGCGCTCCTTCCCCCCACGTCTGCCTGCCTGTGTTAGTTTCTCTCCTAACACGAACTTGTCAGTTTCGACTCCCAGCAACCAAAAGTTACTAAAAAATGTCACGAGCGTCTGTTTAATAGGCAATGGGCTCAGTACTCTGCCACACATTACAACTCCGCATAAGACCTGTGTTCCAATGAACTAGCTAACCACCTACAGCAACCTGGCTCTTGGGTGTCTTGGGGGATGGGAACCTCTAAGATGAATCAGAGCTCCTAAGAGGAGCAGACCAGAATTCACATGTTCTCATGACCTCAGAACCTCCCACTTTGCTCATTACAGAAGAGAAATGTCATGGAACCCATGCTCACTTTTTCCACAGCTATTTATTTTCCAAGCCAGGACTCTTTGAGAAGGAAAAGGAATGCTGTTAATAATTATAACAGGATGGCAAGGACTATCCCAGCAAACCAAGACATACAGTCACTCTAACCACAGTACTTATCACCCCATTCCATGAATTTCTATTCTGGGGTCCTGAAAGCAAGGTTTACGCCTTTTACCTTTATATCCTTGGCATAGTACCTGGCACAGAGGTGTTCAATGAACCCATACTGAATGAAGAAACACAGAACTTCCCTGAGCCCACTACAAGTCAGAAGCAGAGCCCAGCTGAGAAGATGGCCTCATTCCAGCCTCCCAGGCCTTGGCCCCTTCCCCTTCACCCAGACTGGCTCTGTGAGCAAATGCAGCAGCGTTCCCAGGTTCCCAGCTGTGTGGCACTCACAAGCTTCTCTCGCTCCAACTCTGTGCTGAACCTGGCCTGTAGTTCCACTTGAGTCTGAAGACGTTTCTTTTCTTCTTCTGCTGCGCGAGATGCTGCTTCTTCCAGTTTCTACCCAATCAAAACCCCACCCATAGAAAAGCAGTAAATATTAAGAGTGAATATCATCTCACACATTATTCCTTAAAACTTTTACCAGAGCTTGACTTATCAGAGGTGGCAATGAGGAACTCCATGGACCCATTCCCCCAGCAAAACACCCATAACTAGTGAAAATAATTTCCAAAAAACCCCCCAAAACAACCATTTAAAGTCCCTGGAAATTATCCTAAGAGCATACAGCAAATGGAGAACATTTATCCAAGAAAAATCTACCAAATCTTAGTAAGAACAGTGAGTTTATGGCATAATAAAACCTTTAAAACATAAATAAATAAAATCTTTAAAAAAAAAAGAACAAAATAATTCCCTGCAGCATTGCCTATTTAATCAAAAGATTAAAAACAAACCAAATGTTCATCAAGAGCAGACTGGCATTGTTTCTTTTTCTAATTTTTATTGCTATGTTAATCACCGTACATTACATCATTAGTTTTTGATGTAGTGTTCCATGATTCATTATTTGTTTCTTTGTTTTTAAGATTTTTATTTATTTATTTGAGAGAGAGAGAGAGAGCCTATGAGAGAGACAGCACAAGCAGGGGCAGAGGGAGAAGCACGCTCCCCACTGAGCAGGGAGCCTAATGCAGGTCTCAATCCCAGGACCCTGGGATCATGACCTGAGCTGAAGGCAGACGCTTAACTGAGTAAGCCTCCCAGGTGCTCCTGGAATTGTTCTCTTAATATCTCTTTCTGATAGTCCATTATTAGTGTATAGAAACAACAGATTTTTGCATATTGATCTTTTATTCTATAATTTTCTGAATTTGTTTATTGAAACAACAGATTTTTGCATATTGATCTTTTATCCTGTAATTTTACTGAATTTGTTTATTAGTTCTAACAGTTTTCTCTCTATATAATATCATGTCATCTGCAAACAGTGACAATTTTACTTCTTACCTTCCAATTTGGATGTCTTTTCTTTCTTTTTCTTGCCTAATTGCTCTGGCTAGGACTTCAAACACTATGTTGAATAAAAGTGGTGAGAGTAGGCATCTTTGTCTTATTCCTGATCTTAGAGAAAAAGCTTTCAATTTTCCACCACTGAGTATGTTAGCTATGGGCTTTGCATGACATTTATTACGGTGAGATAGAGTCTCTCCATACCTGCTTTGTTGAGAGTTTTTAAATCAAAGTCAAATTTTGTCAAACGTTTTTCTGCCAACTATTGAGATGATCATTTAATTCTTATCCTTCATTTTTATAATGTGGTTGTATCATACTGATTTGTAGATAAACACAATTTAAAATGTGAAATATGGTATCAAAAGCATAACATGTTGGGGAGGGGAAAAGACAAATGTTGAGCTTTAGAATGGGATCAAACTTAAGTTATCAACTTAAAATTGTGTTACATGTATAAGTTGTTATATGTAAACTTCATGGTAATCACAAAGCAAAAACCTATTTTAAATATGCAAAAGAGAAAGAGAAAGAAATAAAAGCATAGCACTAAAGAAAGTCATCAAACCTTAGAGGAGGAAAGAGAAGAAAGGAACAGAAGAAATACAAAAACAGCCAGAAAACATTTAACAAAATGGCAACAAGTACGTACCCAATATTAACTTTAAATGTAAATGGACTAAACTCTCCAATCAAAAGACAGAGTAGCTGAGGGCGCCTGGGGGGCTCAGTTGTTAAGCGTCTGCCTTCAGCCCAGGTCATGATCCCAGGGTCCTGGGATGGAGTCCCGCATCAGGCTCCCTGCTCCGTGGGAAGCCTGCTTCTCCCTCTCCCACTCCCCCTGCTTGTGTTCCTGCTCTCGCTATCTCTCTGTCAAATAAATAAATAAAATCTTTAAAAAAAAAAAAAAAAAGACAGAGTAGCTGAATAGATTTTTTTTAAAAGACCCCAATCCACTGAATTGTATACTTTAAAATGGTAATTTTATGCTATGTGAATTACATCAATAAAATTTTTTTTAAATTTCTCATTATTAAAAAAAAAAAGGCCTGTCTATATGCTGCCTACAAGAGACTCAGTTAAATATAAGGACACACACAGACTGTAAGTGAAGGGATGGAAAAAGATATTCAATGCAAATGTAAATTAAAGAAAGCTAGAATACCTATACTTATATCAAACAGACTTTAAAACAAAGCCTGTAATAAGAGGCAAAGATGGGTGTTTTATAATGATAAAGGGGTCAATCCAACAAGAAGATATAGCATTTATAACATTTAAATATCCAGCATAGGAGCATCTAAATATATAAAGCAATTAACAGACCTACAGGGAGAAATATTCAGCAATACAATAATAGCAGGGGACTTTAATAGCCCACTTACATCAATGGATATATCATCCAGACAGAAAATCAATACGGAAACATGGTCCTTAAACAACACATTAGACCAGATGGGCTCAATGATGTATATAAAACATTTCCATCCAAAAGCAACAGAATACATATTCTTCTCAAGTACACATGGAACATTTTCCAGGAAGATCACATGTTGGGCCACAAAACAAGTCTTAATAAATTTATGAGGACTGAAATCGTTATCAAGCATCTTTTCAACCACAATCATATGAAACTAGCAACTCCACAAAGAAAACCAGAAAATTCACAATTTGTGGAGACTAAACAACATGCTGCTGAGCAACCAATAGGTCAAAAGACAAATAAAAAATACTCTGAGACAAACAAAAGTGGAAATATAACGTACCAAAATTTGCAGGATGCAGCAAAAGCAGTTCTAAGACTGAAGTTCTTAGCTATAAATGCCTACCTCAAGAAACAAAAGTCTCAGGGGCACCTGGGTGGCACAGTTGGTTAAGCATCCAACTCTTGGTTTTGGCTCAGGTCACGATCTCAGGGTCATGGCATCAAGCCCTGCATCATGCTCTGTGCTCAGCAGACAGTCTGCTTGGGATTCTCATTCCCCCCTCCCGCTCTCCCTACCCCCTGCTCAGACTCGCTCTCTCTCAAATAAATCTTTAAAAAAAAGGAAAGAAAGAAATTAAGAAAGAAACAAAAGTCTCAAATGACCTAACTTTACACTCAAGGAAAGAAAATGAAGAAAATGAAGCCCAAAGTTAGTAGAAGGAAGGAGGTAACCAAGATTGGAGCAGAAGTAAATAAAAGAGACCAAAAGACGAGAGAAGATCAATGAAACTAAACTCGTTCTTAGAAAAGATAAACAAATTGACAAGCCTTTAGTTAGACTCACCAAGGAAAAAAAGAGGACTCAAATAATAAATGAAAGAGATGTTACAAAGGATACCACAAAAAAAAAGGATCATAAGAGACTATTATGAACAATTACACACCAACAAATCAGACAACCTAGAAGAAATTTATAGATTCCTAAAAACATACAACCAATTTGATTACTAGGAGATTCAATCAGTAATCAAAAACCTCCCAACAAAAAAAAGTCCAGGACCAGACAGCTTCACTAGTGAATTCTACCACACATTCAAAGAAGAATTAATATTTGTTCTTCTCAAACTTTAAAAAAAAAAAAAAACAGAAGAGGAGGGAATTCCTCCAAACTCATTTTATGAGGCCAGTGTTACCCTTATACCAAAACCAGACACAAGAAAAGAAAAATAGGGGCTAGTATCCCTGATGAACACAGATGCAAAAATCCTCAATAAAATATTAGCAAACCAAATTCAACAATACATTAAAAGGATCACACACCACGATCAAGTGGGATTTATTCTTTTATATAATTTAAATTTTTGAACCATATGATTATATTACCTATACAAAAGATTAGAGTTTTTTTAAAGAAACCAAAGTGGAAATAAAAGTTATTTGGGAGAGGAGGGGGATGAATAGGTAAGAGCACAGAGGATTTTTAAGGAAGTGAAAATAAGCCTGAATGATACTCTAATGGTAAATACATGTCATTATACATTTGTCCAAACCCATAGAATGCAAAACACCAAGCATGAACCTTAGGTAAACTATGGACTTTGGGTGCTATGAGTGTCAGTGTAGATTCATCAATTTTAACAAGTGTACCACTCTGGAAGGGGATGCTGATACCAAGAGAGACTGCGTGTGTTGACACTGAGGTATATGGGAAATCTCCGTATCTTCCTTTTAATTTTATTGTGAACTTAAAAGTGCTCTACAAAAATAAACTCTTTTTCCAAAAAAAAAATGTGGGTAATCCCTTTAAAGATATGTATTAATTTACAAAAACTACAGATTTCTTGTTCCTTCTTCCAAATTAAATGAGGCCAATCAAGTCTTACAAAATCCACAAATGTTATCGAATTCCAGGTGATTAAAAGATTCATCTAAGCAGTTTTTTTCTAAATATGCTTTAATGAAAAATTAGGATGAATTTTACTTAACAAGAAAAAGAAAATTAAAGATTATTAAGGGATCTATAATAATGTCTCAACACTTGTCAAATCCCAAATCAGTTGCTTAACTAAAACTAGGTAGGAGGAAAGCTGTCTAGTTTGGCCTAGGCCTTGTCAGCTCTGACCATACATTCACATAAAGCAGAACAGGCCATCTACATGCTCATGGGAGGCAGAGTTTAAAAGAGTCTAAAGGTTCAAAAAGATGCCAGATGGATGAATCTCAAATGCATGATGCTAAGTCAAAGAACCCAGTCTTGAAAACTTACATACTGTGCAATTCCATTTATATGACAATTTGGGAAAGGCAAAAATATAGGAACAGAGAATAGATCAGTGGTTGCTGGGGGTTAGGGATTAGTAGACAATCTGAGTACAGGGGGCAGTGTGAGGAAATTCTTTGGAGCATTAGAATTGTTCTGCATTCTGTCTGTGCTAGTTACAAGAATCTAGACACATGTAAAAACTCATACAACTATACATAAACCATGAATCTTACTGTTTGTAAACTACTAAAAAACTAAAACAAAAGAAAAAAGGACACCAGAACTTTCAAGTATCGGCAATACTCTATCCTAACTTGGGTAGTAGTTTCAGGGGTATTCACTTTATGATGCTTTGTATACAATCTTTCATACTTTCTTCTGTAGGACCTCTTGCACAATTTTTAAAAATTATGAAAGAAGGACAACAAGCCCAGATTTCCACTCCATTCTTATAACACCCACTACTGCCATGTGTACAGTGGATGAAGGAAGCAGTGATCACATACCACAGGTGCTCATCCTAGCCTATTAAGGGAGATTTAAAGAAAATGTATTACAGCAGAAAGACAAGATGCAAGAGTGATTCAGGAGGAAGAACAACAAGACCTGAAGAGCTGCTTTTAGAAAGTAGGTATACTCTCTGGAAACAGTATGGAGGTTCCTCAAAAAGTTAAAAGTAGAACTACCCTCCAGCAATTGCACTCCTAGGTATTTATCCAAAGGATACAAACAGTGATTTGAAGGGGCACATGTACCCCAATGTTTATAGCAGCAATGTCCACAATAGCCAAAATATGGAAAGAGCCCATCAACAGATGAATGAATAAAGATGTGGTGTATATATATATACTCAGCAATCAAAAAGAATGAAATCTTGACATCTGCAACGACATGGATGGAACTAGGGTATTATGCTAAGCAAAATAAGTCAGAGAAAGACAACCACCATATGATTTCATTCATGTGGAATTTAAGAAAGAAAACAGATAAACACAGAGGAAGGGAAGGAAAAATAAAACAAGATGAAAACAGAGAGGGAGGCAAATCATCAGACTTTTAACTATAGGAAACAAACAGGGTTGCTGGAGAGGAGGTGAGTGAGGTGATGTGGTTACTGGGTGACAGGCATTAAGGAGGGCATTTGATATAATGAGCACTGGGTATTATATGCAACTAAGGAATCACTAATAATATACTGATAATAACTGAAACTCATACTGAAACTAATATACTGTATATTAATAATATATAGAAATTAATAATATGCTGTATGTAAACTAATAATATACTGAAACTAATAATATACTGTATGTCAACTAAATTGAATTTAAATAAAAAATTTTTAAAAAAAGAAAAGAAAGTAGGTATGCTGGATAGGAAAAACTGTTTCTAATATCGTATGCCCACATAATTCCTAAGGTTATAAAAGTATTAGAAAATTCTTTGAGTCTACTCAGAGGATGTCAGCACAAAGTGTGGCATTTCCATGGACTGCAAAGGGAGAACCCCACCAGGAATGTGGGGGCTTATACTGTGAGCATCTCCAATACCCCAAGGCAAAGGTGCTACAGAGGAGACACAAAAGGGTCTTGGATCTTGTAGTTAAGCAGGTGCTCACTGACTCAAGGCAGACAGGCTCAATCCATCCCAAGTAAGGATGGTGCCCAGACACCAAAGACCGACTCCCACCCCCAGAACCATGATACAACTGAGCAACAAGGTTTCCCAACGAATGTCAATTATCCTATACAATCTATGGTACTTGACCTCCTAGCCCAGAGGTGGAAGGAGAAACCGACCCAGACTTATCTTTGACTCTGAACAGTGAGACCCACAGCTCTATACTAAGGGTACTCAGGAGTAAAGATGGGAGCTAAGAGGGGGAAAAACTAAAAAAGCAACACACCCTGCCCAGGTCACCAAAAATGACCTTGACATCCTTAGGGGAATAAAATTTCTCATCTTTATCTGACAAAATTCAACTGTGCTCACCATTCTTATAAATGTTCTTTTCCAGTCAATGAAATGCCTTGCTGACCTGAGACCCTCATACTTCCAAGGCTGGGAAAACCAGGATGTCTCAGTAATCTAGATACACTTCCTGAGAAAACAATTTACCAAAACATCTCTCTAAAACTGCATGCAGCTGGTCTTGGTGGGCCCAAAGCTTGTAAGTAAGGTAGCTGTGGCTCCTGCAATGAAACAGAGAGCCCTCCCCCAGCCCAGTGTCCATTCCCACCTTCCTCACGGTCTCCAGCTCCTGCTGCTTGTTTTCGTTGGCAGCCTGGAGCTCCTTCATCTGTCGCTCCAGCTCCTCTTGTTCAGCCAGAAGCTTCTTCCGGAGTTCTTTCCGACGCTGGCGGGCTTCTTTATGTGGTGGGGGGCTGCCCAACTTCAACAGATGGATAGTAGAATGAATGGCTATAAAAGGCGTAGGACAGAAAAAGGGACAGACTGTTTATTCTTCGTATGCAGATGGCATACTGGGAAGAAAACCAGAGACCCAGTGTAGATTCTGATTCTGCCATTAAGTACTGGTGTGACCTTGCGTAAGTCATAACCTGCAGCATCAGTCTCCTCATCTCTAAATGTGATCTCTGGAGTCCCTTCCAACTCCAAAATTCCACAACTGCATATCTGTGCTTAAATAGATACTTGATTCAGAAATATCGCACACATTTGAAGAACTTACAACACTTTCAATTCCCTTCTCTATATTTCTCAAAAGGCCAAATAAGAACAAGACATAGTAAGAGTTGAGATTCAAACTTCTTAATATCTGATTTGCTACATGCTGGGTTTAGTCTGCCCTTATCTATGCCTTCTGAAACCATACCCTTATACACTTCCTTCCTGAGATGGTTAAGCGTAGCTACCATTTACTGAATACTTGCTATATGTATACCCTTTACATGCATTATCTAATTTTTATGTATCTTCCTGATTATTTGAATTAATTTTAATTTTTTGAAAAGCTATTACTTTCACATGGTTCAAATTCAAAAGCATGAAAAGACATATAGGAAAAGTCTCCCTCCTGCTCCTATGCCCAAGTACTGGCTTCCCCTCTCCACTACCAACTAATGCTAACAGTTTCTTGTCTTTTCCAAAGATATTTTAAGCATATACAAATAAATATGTATATACATCCTCCACCTTCTTTTGACATAATACACTCTTCTGAGCCTTGGTTTTTTTCACTTACTATATCTTGGAGAGCTTTCCATATCAATATATAAAGCATTATACAGGGCACCTGGGTGGTTCAGTCAGTTAAGCGTTTGCCTTCAGCTCAGGTCATGATCCCAAGGTCCTGGGATCGAGCGCCAATCGGGCTCCCTGTTCAGCGGGGAGTCTGCTTCTCCCTCCGCCTGCTCATGCTCTCGCTCACACACTCTCTCTCAAATATATAAATAAAATCTTTTAAAATAAATAAATGAATAAATAATTATATACAAGTACTGTACAGAACCCCATTGAGTTTCTTCTATCATTTATTCAACCATTTTGCCATTAATGGACATTTAGGTTGTCTACAATCTATCACATTTTTGCAATGATGTGCCATTTTTAAAATGTGCAAGTATATTTTCATTATCTAATTATTAACACTCAAAAAACCTTGAGAGATAGGTACTATTTTTTTTTAAGATTTTATTTATTTGAGGGGCGCCTGGGTGGCTCAGTCATTAAGCGTCTGCCTTTGGCTCAGGTCATGATCCCAGGGTCTTGGGATCGAGCCCCACGTTGGGCTCCCTGCTCAGCAGGAAGCCTGCTTCTCCCTCTCCCACTCCCCCTGCTTGTGTTCCCTCTCTCGCTGGGTCTCTCTCTGTCAAATAAATAAAGTCTTTTAAAAAAAAAAAAGGATTTTATTTATTCGAGAGGGAGGTAGTGAGAGAGAGCATGAGCAGGGAGGAAAGGGAGAAGCAGGCTCCCCACTGAGTAAGGAGCCCGATGTGGGGCTTGATCCCAGGTCCCTGAGATCAAAACCTGAGCCGAAGACAGATCCTTAACCAAATGAGCCACCCAGGTGCCCTGAGAGGTAAGTACTATTATTATCCCCATTCTACACAAGAGGAAAAACAGCTACAAAATTCATAATTCAACTCAAGTGACCCAGGAAAGAGGATACAAACCTAGGTGCACTTGCTTCAAAATCTTAAGCCACATCAAAATGACAATTTTCAGTATAACATAATTTTACTTATGTCTAAGAATATCATATTCAGAAGCCCCTTTCATGATTAAAAAAAAAATCTCCTATGTAGTGTTTCATTCTTTACTAATTTTAGAATAATCAGTTTAAAAGTTTAAAAGTTATTAAATCAAAAGTTTATGTTCTTGAAATAATTATTTGAAACTAGTGCTTTCTTGTGAAAATAACAGATCTTAAAAATTACTGGAAATATTCAAGTGATTGCATTATTCCTCTTTTGTTTTCTGTATTACTAAAAATTCAAGATAGTCACTTCAAAATTCTTCATAGTCCTTAAAAGGGGAAATTCCATTCTCTTTAAATAGTAAAAGTGAATAAAACTTAAAATGTCCAGTTTATAATTTTCCCACAAGTTCATTACGCAAATGAAACTGATGAAAAATTTGGGAACTCCTCTCAATTTGTTTCTTTTAGCTATTATGCTGCATGCAGAAATAACTACAATGAGGAAACAATGCTTTAGTATCTCTAATGAGATTAAAAATACAAAGTCAGAGCTCTCAAGTTATATCATGACAAATAATAAAAACTGCCTTACCCTGAATCCACTCCTGTTTCTTCTTCTTATCTGAGGCACTGATTTCAAAGGTCTTATCAAAACATTTTATGAGAAAAAGGCATTTCTTCCCATCTTTGTCGGGCAAGGACTAACACAGAAAGCAAAATCGGTTTTTTAAAATTTTATTTTTAAGCATTTAAATTTAATTTAATCTGAATTATTTATACAAATCTGGCTGAAATTCAATGTCAATGAAAAATATCTATAAGAGCATATTTCTGATTTACAAAATGTTATTCTCTAGGCAACATTACCTATGGTAACAATGACCCCTGATTAGTATACTTCATCTGGACTGCGAGAACCACCAACACCTGATGGGGACACCATGCTTTGGCTTCCTGAGCACAGTGACTCTTGTATGTGAGCACACCCCTTACAGGAACCCTGGAAGGTATATCCACGTCGTTACAACAGGTATTGATTCCAATGCGCTATGAGGCTACTAAGCCAGGGTGATTCCCACATCCACCTGATGCAGATCCACTCTCTGTGCACTTGGGCTATTATTGCTAGCAAGCTATGGCTCCTGTCCTATATCCTTAAGTAGACTGGTATGGTCTATGGTAATCTCGTGAGTCTCCATGTTTAGCTGAATCTAAGAAGACCCCTTAGTAGGCAGTGCACACCCCGAGACATCAGTATATGTACACTATTTCATCCATCAAAATACATTCTCATTTATGAGCAAGATTTTAGGTATTTTACATGTTCTTCATCAAATACAGATGTGATGATAGTTCAGATATAAATTAAAAACTCAAAATTTATGTTTCCTGAAGACTTCACTTCTTTACAGAATTAACAGCAATGAATAAGGTGTCCTGAAAATCACCTAAAATATTCAAAGATACTGCTCATATTTTCTTTAGTTTTATTTACTGTACTCAAAATGGCCCAGATTTCCCCATATATTCATGATTTCAAACACTGTCTTCCTGAATATTTTCTGGCTTTCTTTTTTGTAACTCCATTTTATTCAATAAATGTTTCCTTAAATGTTCAAATAAATCTGACTTAATCCCTGTACTTTGTTCATGAGACAAAATAAATTCACATTACAAAAAACTTCTGTCAGGTATCTTTGGTTTTTGGTTCAGAAAGTCTAGTAACTGTATGCCTATACTATTTTTAGAAATGTTAATTTTAAGATTATTTTAAGGTTCTAAAGCCTAGAAGCAAGATAAAAGACTTGAGCAGCAGGGGGCAGCATCAGAAAGAGGTAACTAGAGGCTTACCTCCACACAGCAGTTTTCATCCAAGAGAATGTCTCCTTTCTTATCTTTCAGATCCTCACTCACATAATAAGAAATTATGTTGGGTTTTAGTACAAACCAGCGTTCAGTCCAGTTTTTCCGTCTATGGCCTTTTTTCATCATGTAACCCTATGAAAGATTAAATCTGATATAAATGCCTGGCCTTTTACTTATTAGAGCTAATATCTCTTCCTTGAATACATGAGTATAAGTGGTTCTTGACCTTTGTGGAGCATGAACCCACTGAGGACCTATGATGGCCAGGGGTACTAAAGCCAGTCAAATACATGCATACAAAAGTTTACACATAATTCTGGACCTAGAGAGACAACAGTCCACCCCACTCTCCATCCCCCAATGCTATATACGTTGTCTTAGAACTCCTGGTGCTAAAATCATTGTGATTTTTTTTAATTCCTTTTTTTTTTCTTAAAGGGACGGAGAGAGAGTCTTAAGCAGGCTCCACACCCAGCACGGAGCCTGACATGGGGCTCAATCTCATGACCCTAAGATCATGACCTGAGCCGAAATCAAGAGTTGGACACTTAGATTGAGCCATCCAGGTGCCCCTAAAATTCCTTATCTTTTGGGGATACCTATGGAAATATTTATAGATAAAATGAAATGTCGGGGATGCCAAGGTGGCTCAGTCAAGTCCTGCATAGGGCTCCCTGCTCAGCAGGGAGCCTGCATCTCCCTCTGCCTGCCACTCCCCCTGCTTGTGCTTGCTCGCTCTCACTCTCCCTCTCTGACAAATAAATAAAATCTTAAAAAAAAAAAAAAAGTCTGGGATTGTTTCAAGATACAGGAGAGGAGAAAGTAGGAAGTGTAGGATCAACCATGTGTTAGTGGTTACTGGGGCTGGATGAATGGTATATGGGAGTTCACTATACTATCCTGTCTATTCTGATTAAAACACATACACACACAAAACCCTGATAGTGATTCTCAGTAAATTAAAACCTCAATCAATGAAAATGTTAAACTTGGTCAAATATACCTTTTAACCATCACCTTCTGGCACCAACCTACCCTTCTACCTGACCTCTCACTCACTATTCTGGAGGAAGAATTCTGCTCCAGATGAACAGAAAAGAACTAGCAGTTAGGATTCTGGCTTCTAAATGTAGCTTCTACACTCACACTTCTAGGCCTATACTTCCTTCCCACATATCAATCACAAAGGTGTACAATTCATATCTTTACTTAAGCAAAATGACATATTATTATAGGCCAAGCCTTTCAGGGTTGTTTGAGAATAGCTGACATTTTTTTTTAAGATTTATTTTTTTATTTGAGAGAGAGACTGCTCACGCACGTGAGTGGGTGGGCAGAGGGTGGGAAGAGGGAGAGAGAATCCCAACGGAGCACAGAGCCCAACGTGGGGCTCAGTCTCACCACCCCAATCTCACCACCCCAAGATCATGACCTGAGCCAAAACCAAGAGCCAGACGCTTAACCGACTGAGCCACCCAGGAGCCCCAAGAATAGCTAACATTTTAAATATTAAATGTGTAAGTGCTGATAGCCTAGAGTAGACTATATATTATCATTAAATATTTATTACCTTGCTGTATCATTTGATTATTATGTCAGGTTCTAATCATATACTTGTTCAGTTTCCTAATCCTTGGACATTGAAATAAAAGCTATCTCATACTGAAATTCATCTGTAGTCCAATTATCCTGCCATCTGGTGGGCCTAGAAGTCTTTAGACAGAGACCATGTCTCACACTTCTTTTTAGCACTAAAAACCTACACAAATGAACCTCAATTAATGTTTCTTGATGGGCTCAATTAGGGAAAAAGAGCAAAGACAACAACATCACCTGCTTAGTTAATAAAGGACAAAAGTAAGGAAACCCCAACTTGGGAATTATTATTCAGTATAGTAATTAAGAAATCGGAAAGATCCACTAAAAATATATATAAATTCTATTTAACAAGCATTAAGCTTCTCATATGTATATCATATGCTATGCAGGTCATAATCTAATAAAATAAATGCAATTTTGCTAAATAAAGGTATTTTTCTCCCAAAAGTAAGGGTATTTTTCTGATTTTATAAAAATATATAATCATATACATACATTCATGTATAGAATCCTATAAAGTACTAAGTCCAATAACAAGAAAGGAATAAAGAAGAAAATAAAATTTACAGAAATCCCACAATCCAGAGGCAACTTTGGGGACCATCCTTCCAGATAGCCCTACAAACGTGTATCACATTTCATGAAAGGGGCTGCAAGATACTTCCTGTTCAATAACCTGTTTTTTTCTCTGAACGATATGCCATGAGGATCTTTCAGATCAACAAATATGGCTGTACACAACATGAAAGTACTTTAAAAATAGTTTAAAATGTGGTCATTTAAACAGTTCTTTCAAAATAGTAATTTCCCAATGCTTAAGGGTACTTCAAAATTGTACCAGTAATTTTTTTAAAATTAGAGCCTAATACAAGACTGGGAAAATAAGAAACTATATTCCTGTTCTAAATCAGTGTAAAAGTATAAATGACTTATGCCCGATGAAAATATCTTATTTCAAACATGTCAAATTCTAAAGGTGCGGAGACAGCACTCTTACCTGTTTCAACACATCTAATATAAGCTCATTAAAGACTTCATTAATCGCCATGGACACTGTCTGCCGATCCATGCCTTTGCTGAACTGTCCATTTCCAATAAGCTCAATCAGTTCCCACACAGAAAGGCCATCTTTACTGTCATCAAAGTTGATTTTATAATGTTCAAACTGTTCTTGCTGCCAACCTCCTCCCATAACTTCTGTAAGTTTCTTAAGCAAGTATTCAATCTGTACAAAGAAAAATGTAAAAGTATTAATTCCTAGTAAAAAAAAATAACTTTTAAACTTAGGTATGTATCTATGTTATTTACACTGATATGGTCAACTTAGGAAATTTTCTTTTCTAGTTACAAAAGCATATCTTTAAATAATTATGATATTATCAGGGAGAAAGATATGGATAAAATGCCTCTGGTCCTATATTAACCTTATAGAACAAGTAAAGGAATAAAAAACTGATAACCCTCTAATAGTATAGTATATCTGTATGCAGAACTAAAGCAAACTGTACACATATAGTATCATACACAAACTGATGTGACTGGATTACTCTCTGTTGGATAAATATTTCAATATACCAGAATATTGACCTTACTGAACTAACATGCAAGTACTAAATGAAATAAGCATCTCAAAGTAGTATGTACAAGTTAGTCCTCAATTTACAAATTTTGCACATAAGCCAATTATTTGAAAGTTATGATGCTTCCTCCCATTATAACATTGACAATGTTGGCAACAATGGCTGAATTCCTAGCCCGGGCTGGAAGAGTTTATTAAATCCTGAAACACACATCTTTGTGTAGAAAAACAGTAGAAAATGTTGCTATTGAAATAGCAGCAGGTGAACAAAACAGTGAGGCAGTAATACTCACTGAATGAAAAATCAGTATCTTACTTTCTAGAAAGCCTGGGTTTCCTACACACTCTTGAATTCACCATGTCCAAAAATGAATGAATCACCTCAAGCTTCCAAACGGCTTCCCCTTCTATTATTGGTTTCAGATGCGAACACCACCACTCACCCATGCTAATCCTTGTTCCCCGCTCCTTTATACCAAATCAGTGATAAAAACCTACCGTTTTCACTTCCCTAGATCAGTGTTTTTCAAACTGTAGGTTATGACCCAACCCAATATAAAACCAATGTATTAGGTAGTAAACACCATTTTCCTTAATGGAATGAAAATATTTGAGTTCACCTACAATAAAGACAAATGTTTTGTGAAAAGTTTGGCATTATGGGTGTGTCTATGTGTGCTGGGTCATGAAATAAAACACTTATCTTCCTATGGATTACAGTCAAAAGAGAATGAAAAACTCTGTTCCAGCAGTTCTCAAATCCATCCCCTCCTAGTCCATCTTCCTTTGTTCAGGCCTCCCAATTGTCCTTGACTCCAGCATTGCTCCCTTGCATCTATATGCTGCTAGAGAGATTTTTCTAAAACACAAGCTGAGCCTGTCACCTCCCTCTTTAAATCCTGTGCTGGCTCTCTAGCACCTCAAGGACAAAGACCAAGCTCCTCTGTGTCCCTTGGTAAGTACCACCCTCCCAGCCCCACCCCGGCTGACTACCTATCTCTAACACGTCTTCCACTATGCCCATTGCAGATTTTACACTTCACCATACCAGGTTAGAGGTCTCAAGCTTATTCTGTAAAGGATTAGGTAGTAAATGTTTTAGGCTTTGTGCATCTCTATTAAAGTTACTTTTTGTTTGGATTGGTTTTTTGTTTGTTTTATGCTTTAAAAATGTAAAAAACTAGGGCAGCTGGGTGGCTCAGTCGTTAAGCGGCTGCCTTCAGCTCAGGTCATGATCCCGGGGTCCTGGGATCAAGCCCCGCGCCCCGCATCGGGCTCCCTGCTCGGCGGGAAGCCTGCTTCTCCCTCTCCCACTCCCCCTGCTTGTGTTGCCTCTCTCGCTGTGTCTCTCTCTGTCAAATAAATAAATAAAATCTTTAAAAAAATGTAAAAACTATTCTTAGCACATGGGCTATACAAAAATAGGCTATGGGTTAGAATCAGCAATGAGCCATAGTCTGCCAACACCTGCCATAGATTATAAAGAGTATACCAATTTAACACACTTTTTTATGCTTCTGTGCCTTTCCCCATGCTGTCCTCTCTGTTTTGAATACCTCTTCTCATCTCTATACCCGGCTAACTGGTATTCATTCAAAATCTGTATTGTCTAGGCTATTCCTACTTCAAGTGAGGTGTGTGGAACAGCAGCATCGGCATCACTTAGAAGCCTGTTAGCAATGAAGAACCTTGGACCCTACCAAAGACCCCAAAATCAAAATCTGCATTATAATAAGAATCCCAGGTACTTCCACATGCACATTAAAGTCTGAGAAGCACTGCTCTAGGAAAACTGCTCTGACCAACCCTAATCCAGGTCAGGTGGTCTTCTATGTCACTGCACTTAGCATACAGTACTGAAATCACCTCTTTACTCATTTTCTTCCCTACCATTTTCTGAATTCTTTATACTAGGGATCATGTCCCACCCATCTTTGAATCTCCAGAAATCAGTATCATGCTTAGAATGTGGCAGAGCTCAATTAACGTTTACTAAAATAAACTAAGCTAAGCCTCAATTTTTTCATCTATGAAATGGACATACTAACACTTATCATATAGAACAACTATGGGGATAAAACGAGACAAGTACTGATTATTTTGCATAGTGTCTGACAGAGTACGTACCCCATCAACGTTACTTCCTTTTGTACTGAGTGAGTGGGGTATTACACAAATATTTAAAATTATATTTTATGAACAGACCCATAACCACTAAGGAAATTGAAGCAGTCATCAAAAATCTCCCAAGAAACAAGAGCCCAGGGCCAGATGGCTTCCCAGGGGAATTCTACCAAACATTTAAAGAAGAATTAAACCTATTCTTCTGAAACTGCTCCAAAAAATAGAAATGGAAGGAAAGCTTCCAAACTCATTTTATGAGGCCAACATTACCTTGATCCCAATATCAGACAAAGACCCCCATCAAAAAGGAGAATTACAGACCAATATCTTTGATGAACATGGATGCAAAAATTCTCACCAAAATACTAGCCAGTAGGATCCAACAGTACATTAAAAGGATTATTCTCCACGACCAAGTGGGATTTATTCCTGGGCTGCAAGGTTGGTTCAACATCCGCAAATCAATCAATGTGATACAATACATTAATGAAAGAAAGAACAAGAACCATATGATCCTCTCAGTAGATGCAGAAAAAGCATTTGACAAAGTACAGCATCCTTTCTTGATTAAAACTCTTCACAGTGTAGGGATAGAGGGTACATACCTCAATATCATAAAAGCCATTTATGAAAAACGCACAGCGAATATCATTCTCAATGGGGAGAAAATGGGAGCTTTCCCCCTAAGGTCAGGAACACAGCAGGGATGTCCACTATCACCACTGCTATTCAACATGGTACCACAAGTCCTAGCCACAGCAATCAGACAACAAAAAGAAGAAATAAATGGCACCCAAATCGGCAAAGAAGTCAAACTCTCACTCTTTGCAGATGATATGATACTTTATGTGGAAAACCCAAAAGACTCCACCCCAAAACTCCTAGAACTCATACAGGAATTCAGTAAAGTGGCAGGATATAAAATCAATGCACAGAAATCAGTTGCATTTATATACACCAACAAGACAGAAGAAAGAGAAAGGAGTTGATCCCATTTACAACTGCACCCAAAACCATAAGATACCTAGGACTAAATCTAACCAAAGAGGCAAAGAATCTGTACTCAGAAAACTATAAAATATTCATGAAAGAAATTGAGGAAGACACAAAGAAATGGAAAAATGTTCCATGCTCATGGATTGGAAGAACAAACATTGTGAAGATGTCAATGCTACCTAGAGCAATCTACACATTCAATGCAATCCCTATCAAAATACCATCAACTTTTTTCAAAGAAATGGAACAAATAATCCTAAAATTTGTATGGAACCAGAAAAGACCCCAAATAGCCAGAGGAATGTTGAAAAAGAAAAGCAAAGCTGGTGGCATCACAATTCCGGACTTCAAGCTCTATTACAAAGCTATCATCATCAAGACAGTACGGTACTGGCACAAAAACAGACACATAGATCAATGGAACAGAATCGAGAGCCCAGAAATGGACCCCCAACTCTATGGGAAACTCATCTTTGACAAAGCAGGAGAGAATGTCCAATGGAAAAAAGACAGTCTCTTCAACAAATGGTGTTGGGAAAATTGGACAGCCGCATGCAGAAGAATGAAACCGGACCATTTCCTTACACCACACACAAAAATAAACTCAAAATGTTTGAAAGACCCAAATGTGAGACAGGAGTCCATCAAAATCCTAGAGGAGAACACAGGCAGCAACCTCTTTGACCCCAGCTGCAGCAACTTCTTCCTAGAAACATCGCCAAAGGCAAGGGAAGCAAGGGCAAAAATGAACTATTGGGACTTCATCAAGATAAAAAGCTTTTGCACAGCAAAGGAAACAGTCCACAAAACCAAAAGACAACCGACAGAATGGGAGAAGATATTTGCAAATGATGTATCAGATAAAGGGCTGGTATCCAAAATCTATAAAGAACTTATCAAACTCAACACCCAAAGAACAAATAATCCAATCAAGAAATGGGCAGAAGACATGAACAGACATTTCTCCAAAGAAGACATCCAGATGGCCAACAGACACATGAGAAAGTGCTCAACATCGCTCGGCATCAGGGAAATCCAAATCAAAACCTCAATGAGATACCACCTCACACCAGTCAGAATGGCTAAAATTAACAAGTCAGGAAACGGCAGATGTTGGCAAGGATGTGGAGAAAGGGGAACCCTGCTACGCTGTTGGTGGGAATGCAAGCTGGTGCAGCCACTCTGGAAAACACTACGGAGGTTCCTCAAAAAGTTGAAAATAGAGCTACCCGACGACCCAGCAATTGCACTACTGGGTATTTACCCCAAAGAAATGTAGTGATCTGAAGGGGTACATGCACCCCAATGTTTATAGCAGCAATGTCCACAATTGCTGCTTTGAGCCAAGATGTCCATCAACAGATGAATGGATAAAGATGTAGTGTGTGTGTGTGTGTGTGTGTATACACACAATAGAATATTATGCAGCCATCAAAAAAATGAAATCTTGCCATTTGCAATGACGTGGATGGAACTAGAGGGTATTATGCTAAACTAAATAAGTCAATCAGAGAAAGACATGTATC